GGGGGGGGGGGGGGCCGTTAATTACCTGCAGGGGGGTAATTACCGCCTGGGGGTGGAATGGAGCTCGGTTTGGGGTGCGCCGAGGGGGGAATGGGGGAGACTGTGGGAAACGGCGCAAAAAATGTGGGGAAAATGGGGCAGGAAGGGGGGAATGGTTGGGAAGAAAAGGGTGGAGGGGAGGGGAAAGGGGGGAGAAGGATTGGGGAGAAAAGGAGGAGGAAGAAAGAGGAGAGATGGGGAAAATGAGGAGATGGTGGGGAGAAGGGGAGGAAATGGAGGAGAAAGGGGGAAAAATGGAGGAGAAAGGGAAAAAAGGGGGGAAAAGGAGCAAAACCCGAGGAAAAGGAGAGAGAAAAAGAAAAGGTGAAGGAAAAGGGAAAAATGAAGGAAAAGGAGAAAAGATGGGGAAAAAGTGGAGAAAAAAAAGGAAAATGAAAAAAGGTGGAGAAAAGGTGGAAAAAAGGTGAAGAGGGGAGAAAAAGGGGAAAATGTGGAATAGGAAAAGGGTGGGAGGAGGGAAAGCAGGAAAACGAATGGAGAAAGGGAGAAAAGATGGAAGAGGAGAGAAAATGGGGGGAAAAGGAGAAAAAATGGGGAAAATGAGACAAAAAATGAGGAAATATTGGAGAACTGGGGAAAATATGGAGGAGATGAGAAAATATTGGGGATAAATGAGGAAATGTTGGGGGAAAGAGAAAATGCTGGAGGAGAAGAAATGGTGGGGAAGAAGAGGAAATATTGGAGAAGGAGAAAGAAAATGGAGGAAAAGGGGAAATGTTGGAGAAGAAGAGGAAATATTGGGGCAGAAATGAGAATAAAGAGGAAAAAGAGAAAAGATGGAGGAAAATGGAAACTATTGGGAAAGAAGGGAAAATGGAGGAGGAGAAGAGAAAATATTGGAGAAGAAAAGGATTTGTAGGGGAAGAAGAGAAACTATTGGGGAAAAAAGATCATAGGGGAAAAAGAGAAAATATGGGGGAGGAAGAGAAACTGTTGGGAAAGAGGAGAGAACATGGAGTGAAAAGAGAAAATATTGGAGGAGAAGAGAAAATGTTGGGGAAAAAGCCAAATTTTGGAGGAGGAATAATGGAGAAGAAGAGGAAACGTCGGGGAAGAGAAGAGAAGAGAGAAGAAGAAGAGGAACGGATGGAGGAGAAGAGAGGGAAGATGGAGGCAGCCGTGTGGGCGCGTGCCAAGGGAGGAGGGCAGGGGGGGGCAGGGGGGCAGGGGCGGCCCCACATCCCCAATCTGCCGCCGGTGCCCCCCGCCCGCCGCGGGCATGCAGGGCATGGAGCTGTGCGCCGTGGCCGTCGTCATCCTCCTCTTCATCGCCGTCCTGAAGCAGTTCGGCATCCTGGAGCCCATCTCTGTGGAAGGTAACCCCGGTCCCCCCCTCCCCCCTTTCCTTCCCCCAGAGGTGGGTTTTGGGGCGCCGGCCCCACGCCGTGTGTTTGGGGGACGCTCTGTGCCTCGGATGCGTGGGGTTTTGGGGCGGTTCTTTGGGATCTCCGTGGTGGAAGGCGGAGGTTTTGGGGCGTCCCTTTGTGCCGTGTCACAGCCCTGCTCTCAGCCGTGGGCTGCTGGGGGGCTCTGAGCCCAGCTTCGCCCCTGAGATGCACAGAGCAGACCCCCGAACCCACAGGGACCCCTGAGACCCCCATGATGGACCTCCGTACCCAAAAGCCGCACACGGGGGTCCACGGCATTTATCCCCCCTCCCCGTTTCCATCCCATCTTCCCCGTCCCGAAGTTCCTGCTCTTCCCTGCTCGACGCTGAGCTGCTCCACGGGGCTGAAAACATTAATGGGCCATCATTTATTAATTACCTTCCGGCAGCACGGATGGCCGGGGCGGGAGCGGCCGGAGGATGCGATGCGGGTGGGGACCTGGGCAGGGGCTGCTGGAGATGATCTGCAACGTTCCAGAATGCTTTGGGATGTGCTGGGACGCTCGGGGATGACGGGAGATTCTTGGGGAAGCTTTGGGAAGCTTTGGGATGCTGAGATTCCCCAGGATCCTGCACGACGAACCGGGATTCGCCAGGATGCTCCGAGATGCTCTTGGGGATGCTCTGGGAAGCTGCAGGATGCTTGGGGTCAATCTGAGATCCACCAGGATGCTCCAGGATGCTGCAGGACACTCAGGGATGCTCTAAGATGCTCCGGGATGCTCAGGGTTACGTAGGGAAGCACCGGGATGATCCAGGATGCTCTGGGATGCTCCAGGATACTTGGAGATGTTTGGAGATGCTCCAGGATGCTCAGGAATGCTTTGAGATGCTCAGGGATGCTCAGGGATGTTCCAGGATGCTCAGGGATGCTTTGAAATGCTCCAGGATGCTTGGAGATGTTTGGAGATGCTCCAGGATGCTCGGGGAATGCTTTGGGATGCTCAGAGATGCCACAAGATGCTCTGGGACGCTCCGGGATGCTGCAGTATGGTTGGGGATGCTGTGGGATGCTTTGGAATGGTCAGGGATGCTTTGGGATGCTCTGGAATGCTGTGGGATGGTGCAGAATGCTCGGGGATGTTCAGGGATGCTTCAGAATGCTTTGAGATGCTCCAGGATGCTGCACGGTGCTTTGGGATTGTTGCAGGGTGCTCCAGGATGCTGCAGTATGGTTGGAGATGCTCTAAGATGCTCAGGGACGCTTTGGGACGCTCCGAGGTGCTCCAGAATGCTGCAGGATGCTCAAGGATGCTTTGGGATGCCAAGGGGAGCTCCAGAACGTTTCAGGGTGTCTGGGGATGCTCTGACATGATTGGGGATGCTTCAGGATGCTGCAGGACGCTTGGGGATGCTCTGAGATGCTTAGGGGTGCTCCAGGATGCTGCTCGATTCTTTGGGATGCTCAGGATGCTGTGGGATGCCCAGGGGAGCTCCGGAATGTTTCAGGGCACCTGGGGATGCTCGGGGAGGTTCTGAGATGCTCGGGGACGCTTTGGGGTGCTCCAGGATCCTATTGCTGGAGCAGGCACGGACCAGCAGCTCCCAGGAATCCCCCCAAGTGCAGACGGAGCCGCTTCCTCCCTCACTCGGGTCACGAAACCCGGAGTTTGCAACGGCTGCAGCCACCGGGGGAGCTCCATATGGCGACAGGGAAAGCCGCCGGGTTCGGGGGATTCCCGTTGTGTTTCCGAGCACTGCCAGGTCCTGGCTGAGGCTCCCACGGTGCTCCTGGAGGGACAGCCCCATCCCGGAGGTCCCGGTGCCCCTCTGCTCCCCCCCCCCCCAAAAAAGGTGACACGCCGTCACCCCCCGCAGACACCAGTGACGGCGACGTGGAGCTCTCTGCCGCCCGGCACCAACCCGAGGGGCTGGAGGAGCTGCAGGCACACACCAAGTTCACCAAGAAGGAGCTGCAGTCCCTCTACCGTGGCTTCAAGAACGTGAGCACGGCGGGTTGGGGGCCTCCCCTCGCTTTTGGGGACACCCCCATTGCGGGGCTCCCCGTGGCCATCGCTCTGTCCTCCCCCAGGACTGTCCCAGCGGCCACGTGGACGAGGAGACCTTCACGCTCATCTACGCGCAGTTCTTCCCGCAGGGAGGTGAGCCGGGGGTGCATCACCCCCCCCCCTTTAAAAAGCATCGCCCACCCCCCAAAAACAGCCCCCCAGAAATACCCCGACCCCACGGGATGCTCCCTAACTGCCCCCTCCCCAGATTCCAGCGCCTACGCTCACTTCTTGTTCAACGCCTTCGATGCGGACAGCAGCGGGGCGCTCTGCTTCGAGGTGAGCGCTGCTGGGGGGTGGCACCAAGGGGGGGTGGGGGTGCTCGGCCCCATGCCAGCCATGTGAGTCATCAGATAGCGCTGCTGGCATGAGGGGGAGGCGCTCAGGAAGGGGCTGTGCGTGGAAAAAAAAACCCAACCCAAACCTCCTGAATGCCCCCCAAGTGCTGCTGCAGGCTCAGGGCTGCGGGATGCTGCGGCACGGCCAGGCTGCGCGTCCCCAGCCATTAAAAATAGATGGGAGCCGGAATAGAAACGGGATCGATAGGAGAAGGGCCCGTGGTCAATAGCCACGCCGCAGTGCTCTGTGGGGTCCAGAGCGGGGTCACGGCAGCTCCGTATGAAACGGGGGCTGCTCACCATCACTGTCCTGCCCACCACCCCCCCGGCAGGACTTTGTCGTCGGGCTGTCCGTCCTGCTGCGGGGCACGGCGCAGGAGAAGCTGAACTGGGCTTTCAACCTCTACGACATCAATAAGGACGGCCGCATCACCAAGGAGGTGCCCTGGGGGACGTCTGGAAGGGGGCAGGGGGCACCCTTGGGTCGGGGGGGGGGAGGGGGGGGTTCTCTTTGTCAGCCCAGTTCTGTCTGCTCCCAGGAGATGCTGGAGATCATGAAATCCATTTATGATATGATGGGCCGCTGCACCCTGCCTGCCCCGCGGGACAGCGCGCCTGCAGAGCACGTGGAGCAGTTCTTCCAGGTGAGACTCCAGCACAGCACGGGGAGGGGATGGGGATGGGGACAGGGATGGGATGGGGATGGAGAGGGGGAAGGGGATGGGGATGGGGATAGGGATGGAGAGAGGGATGAGGATGGAGATGGGAAAGGGGATGGGGGCAGGGATGGGGATGGAGATGGGAGCAGGGATGGGGATGGAGAGGGAAGTGGGGATGGGAACAGGGATGGGGATGGAGAGGGGGAAGGGGATGGGGATAGGGATGGGGATGAAGAGGGAGGTAGGGATGGGGATGGGGACCGGAACAGGGATGGGGATGAAGGGGGAAGTGGGGATGGGAACAGGGATGGGGATGGAGAGGGGGATGAGGATGGAGATGGGAAAGGGGATGGGGACAGGGATGGGGATGGAGAGGGAGGTGGGGATGGGGATGGAGAGGGGAATGGGGATGGAGATGGGGGCAGGGATGGGGATGGAGATGGGAAAGGGGATGGGGATGGAGATGGAGGTGGGGATGGGGATGGGGATGGAAATAGGGATGGGGATGGAGAGGGAGGTGGAGAAGGGGATGGGGATGGGGACATCCGTGCTGAGCTCTGCCCCTGCAGAAGATGGACAGGAATGGGGACGGCGTGGTGACCTACGAGGAGTTCCTGGAGACGTGCCAGCAGGTGACCCCACCAGCACTGACTTTGGGCTCACCCCCCTCATCCCCTTTCCCATCCTGGTACCCAAAGCGATGTCAGGATGGGTTCGGGGACCCTTCCATGGGTGCCCCCTCCCCCTATGGGCACCTGTGACGCGTCCGTGTCCCCCGGCAGGATGCGGACATCATGAGTTCCATGCAGATCTTTGAGAACACCATTTAGAGCACAGGGATCCCAGGATGGCCGTGGTGGGACACGGCGTGAGAGATGTTGCAAATGAGGAGAAACCCTTTATAATGAGAAGAAAAACCTCAATAATGAGAAGAAAAACCTCAATAATGAGGAGAAACCCTTAAGAATAAGGATGACGTGGCCAGCTTGCACACTGGCCCCCCCCCCCCCCCGGCAGTTCATTTTGGGGCAGATCTCCCCAGAAATGGGTCACTCTGCCCCAGAGGTGACCCAGCACAAGGTGGACATTATGGGATGGATGCGACATGATGGATGGGGGCTGAGATTTGCTGTTCTGTTTTTTTTTTTCCCCTCAATAAAGCACCCGGCCATGATGTGGGGATCCCACAGCGCTTCGGCCCTCCGCCACCTCGGCACCTGGGGCCGTATCTCCCCCAAAACGGGGCGGGCGAGGCGGCACCGGGGGTGGCGGTGAGGGAGGAGGAGCAGGAAGAGGCCCGGCCCTGCATGGCGGACGGCCGTTTCCATGGCGACCAGGTTCCGCCACGCAGTCCTCGCTACGGCACTGCGCATGCGCGGAGACCAGAGTGCACAAGCGCGCCCCGCGCATGCGCACCTCCCGTTTCTCTACCTGCGTATGCGCAGACCCGCACCTCGCCCTTTGGGCATGCGCATCTTCCCGCAGCGTCCCTCCGCGCATGCGCACTCCCTCGCGCCGCCACCCCCGCTCATCATGGCCGCCGCCGGCCGTTGCTGAGGCGTCTCCGTCCCTTCTTCCTCCCCACATGGAGGGCGGCGATGGGCTCTCTGAGCAGCCGGCTGCTGAGGCGGCGGGGCGGCCCCTCGCTCGTAGACGGGGCGGCGGGGGAGGGAGGCCGAGGCGGCGGGGGGCGTCGGGGAGGAAAGAGAAAGCGGGGAGGGGGCGAAGGGCCCGGTGACAGCGAGAGCGAGAGCGACAGCGAGCGGGACGAGCGGCTCCACAGCGCCCCCCGCAGGTCTGGGGCTGAAGGGGGAGCGGTCATGGGCGTGCTGGGGGGCTCTGGGGTGGGGGGGGGTCTGGGGCCTAAATGAGGCCTGTAGGAGGGATCTGGGATGTGCTAGTTGGGGTTTGGGTCTGATTGAGGCCTGTTTAGGGGGGCCTGAGCCTCTTTGGGGGGACCTGGGATGTTCTGGGTGGACTGGAGCCTGTTAGAGGGGGTGTGGGTCTGTTTGGGGAGTTTTGGGACGAGGTGGGGGGGTGTGGGGCCTTTTTATTGGGATCTGTGGCCTCTATGGGGGGATCTGGGACATGCTGGCGGGCCTGGAGACTGGTAAAGGAGATCTAGGATGTACTGGGGGGGG